AGCAACTTTTAAAATTCATTTTAAAAGCAAATTTTGCTCAAAATTTTTACACAGCACAAGAATATGTAAAATTCTCTTCTGAGCCCTGTAGTACAGGTATAATTCTTTTTTCTCACTCCCTCTCTTTCTCTCTCACTATCAGAGGCGTATTTAGGGGGGGGGCTGAGGGGGCTTGAGCACCCCCCTCAGGGCTGGGCTCAGAAAAAATTACTGAAGTCCTGGACTCTTGCATCACTACCAAGCCTCTTAGCAAAGTTATCTAGCCCCCTGATCATGATTTCAGCAGTTTCCAGTGCTTTAAGGAGCAATCAGAAGTACCAGTAACATAGCAGTATCACTGGCGGATCCAGAAAAATTAAAAGGGGAGTTCCATTTCACTTAAGTAGGTGTAGCTCATTAATTTTAATTAAAATTTGGGTGTAGATCTAACTAATAAAATGGAGGAAAAGTGATGCAAACTGACTGCAAAGAATCCAAAGATACTGCAAAAAGACAACTTCTTCTGCCAAAGGGGGGGTTCCATGGAACCCCCCTAGATCCGCCACTGAGTATGCTTGAAATGATCTTGGCCCCACCCGTAATTGTCGAAAATGCAGGAAAAGGCCGTTTTACCACCGTAAAAGTGGGTGTGGCAAAAATCGCGGCACGCTTCGCGCGCCCTCAGCACCCCCCTTCTTCACACGGGTGTTTCAAATGAATTATTCTTGGACATTTAGTTTGCGCAGAGAAATTTTGAAATTTTATGGTTGCCATGGTGACACTGTGCATAACAACCTTCTAAATTGATTTTTTACTGTCTTGTGGTGGAGCTACAGGGTCAAAGTGGAGTCTATTTGTTTTAGCAAAACCAGAGCTTCAAGTAGCTCTTTGTTCCATGTTACTACGACTTTCTGGTCAAAAGTTATGGATCATAAAGGGTGGAACTTACACATGAATCTTTTAGCTAACTGAAGGTTTTCTCTGAAGTAAGGGACTACTCATTAGGTAGCCTTATGTAACCCCTTTTCAAGTAGACTGTTGCTGTACTGCCACGTTTTTGCCACGGTCTGTTACCATACCAGAGCAAACAGT